GTCCCGTTTGTCGCGTGAGGAAGTATTTGCTTACTCACACATCCTGCTTGTGGCGCCTGTCCTATTACCTAGGTCTGAGATATCCTCACCTCGGTGTTATTCAAGTATTAATCCTGACAATGTACAAACAACCCTACTGTATTCGGTTCGGCCCCGTTTTAATGAGGGTTAACTGATACGGTGCTCGTACCTGAGGGATTGTTGTTTCAACGGTTTTCAAAATTCCATTCCAGTTCCTATCCGTTACTGTTGCGTTTAAACTCTACCTATATTCATAGAAGTTTAGACCTCGGCCCACTTTCATTTAATAAAGCACTAGGATGCCGGTAATTTTTTTTATCGTTCTGGATTCAACGTTATGAAATTTCTGAAGCCATTCTTGAAATATACCAGAAAAAAAACTTTTAATATTCAATCTTACCTCACGGTGTATTTTTGGAAGAACAATTAAATCGTCCAGGCGAAAATTCGATTTTAATAAAGCCGACATGAAATTTATTAAGAAAAGTTATGCGATCTTTGACGTTTGAAGAGTAATTTATTGAAACTTGTTTCATTTAGCTCGTGAAAGTGATTTTTTCTCAGATCAGCAAAGGGCTTGGAACAAACGTAAAGAATGCTGTTGCCTTAGTAACTTTTATTTGACTCGCAAATTATCTGTCTGAACAGTTTAATTCTTGTATTCTTTGGATATATTCTGAAATTAAAATGTGGATTAACATGAGATACTTGAACATAAAAAAGTACATACGAGATATCTTCATCTAAGATCTTCTTGAGCAAAACGAGATAATGATACCCCAATCAGATTAAGTGTGATGGATGTGAAAAATTAATGTACGAGAAATTATTTTTACCTGCTCCTACTATAGTAAACAGACTATAATACATTGTTTTTAAGGAGGTAATAGGATTTTACCAAAATAAAAAAATTAAAATCCACATAAAAATAAAATTTTTATTTTCCCTATTTTTGATTGCAAATTTTAATCAGTAGGGTTTTCTGTAAGGTTTAAAAATAAATAAATACATTACATTTTAAATAATAAAAAGATTGTATTATATTTTGAACTAAAAAAAAATATATATAATTGTTCGATTTTTTTGCAAGGAGTGGTTTTATAAGGGTTCAAACTTATAAATAAATAATAAAAAATTAAAACAGTAAAGAAATCTTAATTTAATATGACTATGATTAAATTACTCCAAGTTGCTGAATAATATGTTTCAACATTATTTTTTAATGATTACTGTCATAGGAGGTGTTTTTTAGGGATTGACAATTTTGAATTCATCATAATTACTTATTTAAAGATGATTTCGAATATACAATATATTCGACGCTCGAATATACAATTCTATAATCATTTTCGAATAGGGGTAGTTTTCACCCTAAATAAAAAGTAACCCCCGGCACAGGGTCAACTTTGAAGTAGAGGATAAGTAGAACCTAAATCCAAATTTTGGTGCAAATCGGTGCCGTTTGTTAAAATTATATAGTAACGCCGTATTTTACCTTCAATGACTGGACTATGTGTCACTCTAGAACAGGGGTCGGCAAGTAATTTTAGGTGGGGTCCGGATACTTTTGAAAATTTTTAACGAGGTCCAAAAAAAAATTCATATTATTTTTTTATTTTAATTTGGACTCAAATTTAATCTGCTTACTAATCATTAAGGACTAAGACACTCACACAATTGTAAAATACTAGAAAAAATGATAATATTGGCACTTAAACGTAAAAAACATTTTTTAAATAATTTATTTCAGTAATTTATACTTCCAAAAACTTTTTGGCGGTCCAGTATTTTACCTTCCGCGGTCCGGACCTGGACCGCGGTCAGCCAGTTGCCGACCCTTGCTCTAGAAAATAATATTGAATTATTATTATATTATTATATAACGAGCGTTCAAATAAAAACGTGGTCAAGTTGGTTCTGAAAATTTGGACGTAGGGCGTAGCGTATAGCAAATGAACTTAAACGTCATCTGTCAAAGCGCTATATCGCCGCTATCAATTTGAATATTTTCGTTTTAAAAAGCGTTTAAAATGGTGTTTTCTCAAGAACAAAAAGTGTTTATCATAGAGTCCTACTTTAGAAATGGACGCAAGATTGATGGAATATGGAAGTATTCTATTGAGGAATGTTTCATAGAATTTCAAAATCAATTTCCCGGCGTTGTTGAGTACAAAATTTTTCAAAGTGCAGTTCAGCGTTGTGTTAATGTTTTTCGTGAAACGGGCAGTGTAACAAGAAAAGAAGGAAGCGGCCGACCTAAAAAGCGGACTGAAGAATTAAAAGAAAATGTCCAACAAATAATGGAAAATGCGCCAAGAACTTCTGTACGTGTTTTATCACAAATGGTGGGAGTATCAGTCGGTACCTGCCACACAGTGTTAAAAAAAGATTTGCGTTTGTTCTCCTATCGTTTAACTTGTCAGCAAGAACTTCATGAAGTTGATTTTCCGCGACGGGCTGTATTTTGTGAATGGTTTTTAAACAACTACGGTGAACTTCATAATATCACCTTTTTTTCTGATGAAGCCTGGTTTCATTTAAGTGGTTACGTAAACTCACAGAATATGAGAATGTGGTCTTCTGAAAAACCAGATAACTTTTTTGTCGAGGGCCCTCTACACGCTCAAAAAATTGGAGTTTGGTGTGCTCTCAATCGAAGGAGGATTTATGGACCTATTTTTTTTAATGGTACTCTTACTGCGCAAAGGTATAGAGAAGAAATTATCGCTCCTTTTGTTAACCAGCTGGAAGAAAACGAAATTACAAACTTTTACTTTCAACAAGATGGCGCAAGGGCACATACGGCAGGCGAGACGATGAATATGTTGAGGGAAGTTTTCCAAAATCGACTAATAAGTCTCAATGCTGAACATGAATTTCCACCGAGGTCATGTGATATTACGCCGTGTGATTTCTTTTTGTGGCCTTACCTTAAAAACACTATTTTTGAACTGCCTATTCCTGATTTAAACCATCTGCAGGCTCGACTTATAGACAAGATTCGTGAAATTAACAATACCCCGAGCATCTTAGAAAATGTCTTTAATTCTTTGAGGAACAGGTGTGAAAAGTGCTTGGAACAAGGAGGGGGACACTTTCAGCAGCTGCTTTAATTTATTGTTATAACAAGGAGGGGGACACTTTCCGCAGCTCCTTTAATTGTTTGTTATTGTTATCACGATTATTCTTTAAAATAAAGTTATACAGCCATTAACGTTATTGAAACTGACAGCTGCTATACAGCTCGTTAAGAAATGAGGTTAAGTTGGTCGCTATAAGCTACTCCCTACGTCCAATGTGTCAGAGCCAACTTCGATCACGTTTTTATTTGAACGCTCGTTATTATTATTTACTCATTTTGAATAAGAAACGGGGTACAGACAATCTAATTACATGTTTCTGTATCAATGGAACAGTTTATAGATATTCTGTGTCGATATTTATTAACAAGTCACTAATCAGAGTACTAGAACTGATATGGAAAATTAATTGTGGGGGACGTATACGGTGGTCAGGTATATTTATCTTTATCTGTGATAACAGATAAGGAGTGGCATGCATGATCTCCATTTAGAAGTTTATATAAAAATGTTAATTTTCGTCTAATTCTTCTATATTCCAATTTGCAGATCCTAAACTGTTTACGTTTATGTTTTTTGTAATAAAGGTACTTTATAAAGTTTTATATTGGTTCAAAGGCATCTTTAATATATTGTTTTGAAGTGTCCTAAATGATATATCCATATTCTAAACCACTACCAATGAGGGAATTAAATAAATATAAAATAGAATTAATTTTTTAATTCTATTTCTATTTCTAACTCTTTTAATGAAACCCAAGAATTTATATGGAGCATTAGTTAATTCATTCACATGGTTTTTAAAATTCAAATTAGATTGAAAGTTACTTCCTAGATCTTTGGATTCATAAATTCTATACAGAATATGATTATTCATTGTATAAACATAATGTTTCGGCATTACATTTATCTAAATTGAAGGGCAATTTATTTTCCATAGACCAGTCATAAATTACATTTAAGTATACTATTTTGCAATTGTGAAAAATCATTGATATCAATTTGTGTAAAGTTTGAAATCATCGGCATACATGAGACAGGATGATGTCATATTTTTTGCTAAATCAATTATAAAAATGAAAAAAAGTAATGGTCCCAAATTTAAACCCTGTGGGACACCAGATCCGGGCAGATATGTCTCAGAATTAGTAGTCTGATAACAAACAAATTGTTTTCGATTCCGTAAATATAACAAAAAAAAAAATACTAAATGGTCACGCAAACCAAGTGCATGCAATTTGGTATGTCATGATTTACCCGATCAAAGGCTTTGGTAAAGTCCGGGCATACGGTGTCATCCTGTTTTACTTCATTAAAAGATATTTAACATTAAAAGATTCTATTAACAAAAAGATCTAAATAGTTTCTACTGACCTGCGACGGAAAAAATCATGTTGTTGAGGCACGGTTCTTGCACCATGGCAATGCGCCCGCACACTCAGTATTTGTCAATTCGTCAGTTTTGTGTAAAAAATAACGTTACTGTCCTCCTTCACCTTCTTTACTTGCCCGACCTAGCTCCTTGCGATTTTTTCATATTTCCGAAATTAATATCAGTGCTGAAAGGACGCCAGTTTTAGTGACAGTAAAACAAATTTGTTACAGACTTTAAAGGCCATTTCAAATGAAGTTATCCAAGGCGGATTCACGAAATGGAAACCCCCGGGAAAAGTATGTGAATAGGACAGTATGTGAAGAGGAAGTTTTTTTAAGTTCAAAAAAATTAAGACACACCTTGTATATGTTATATATATTTTGAATATTTACAGGTATATATGTTAAACTGTTGTTATTGCAAGACTTTGTTTTGCCACCCTGTATGTACATACTTAAACACAATTACTCACAGTGAGTAGTAGAACAGAAAACTATAAAAACCAGTTCTTCCAGATATATATTGGTAAGGAACGAATTCACGCTTTGTAGTGTTAAATTTTACTTCCACAGAAGTGAAACATTTCTAGATAAAAATGGCCACAAAACTATTTTTTCCTGTTGTAGTTGCCTTATTTACTTTTCGTATGGCTTTAGCTGACTCTGTTCTCTGTCCTGATCCGTCAGATGCGTGAGTATACAAATGAAAATTATGTGTTGGCAGTGCCAGTGTCCCATTTAATATTTTTCTGCAAAATTTCATTGTTTGCAGGAAAGAACTAGTCTACAAACAAAACGTCAATGAACCTGCTCCCAGCTTCGGAAGAACTGAAAAAGATTACTTTATTCCAAAACCAGAAAAAACTGTAACTTGTATAATTGTAAGTGTTGTAGTGTCTTTAATTATTTCTTAGCTAAACCTTCTTACAGCTTGTGCGTTTTTAACGCATTCGTATTATTTAATTTGAACTTTATTTATAGTTATCTGGGACTGCCACCGGATCTATTGCTTCTCTTGGATTTTCGGACAAGGGCATAAAAGTTAAATTGGTTTCGAGCATCAAAGAAGGATTCGATGGCGTGCTAGAAGTATATTCAAAATAAAATATACAAATTAATGCTGTATGTATATGTAATATCTTGTTGGCAATAGAACAATATTTAAAACTTGCTTTGTTACTTTTTATTTTTAAGATATTAATAGGTATGTTTTTTGATGTATATATTTTTTTAATAGTTATTTAAAGAGAACTAATTGCACGGTGATTTTAAATCCTCGTTAAAAACCAGTAAAAATTGCTATTAATTGTTGTGGTATTTACCAAAACAGACTATCGTTGTTCATAACTGGTGATATCATCATCACTTTATATACTTCGTGAATTAATTATAAGAATTTTATGTACATTTTAAATAATAATTGACTGGGGAAGTACATAAATTTTATTACAACAATGCAAAACAACAGAGTGATGAACGAAAGTTCAACTATTTACTTGTGCAGATATTTCACAGGTTGGCTTTTAGTAACTACACTGAAAAAAATTATTTGGACTAAATAAATATCTTTTGACATGAACTAATTCTAGTTTTGGATATTGCTTAAAATATATGGTCTGAAAAGTAACTAATAATAAGTTCGTAGTTTTGTAATAAATCTTAAATAAATATTAAATTAATTAAAATAATTATTAAACTAAATTAAATAATATGTTCGCAGTTCTGTAATAAATCTTATTTGAATGTTAATTTATTTTTACTGTAATATTGCATTTCGCCTCTTTATTATTAATTTACATATTTTAAGATGCAGAGGATATAAAATTATTAGAAATATATTTTAGCTTCCTGTGAACTAACAGTTTTTCAATGAAAATAGGTTATTTTAATATTAATAAATCAATAGTTTATAAAAAGTGAATTGTTTTTTTCATTGATATTGGACGTATTCCTTTCTGGACTAGTCTCAAAATTATAATTATTTATCTTCTCAAATTTAATTAAACTGATAATTAGATAACTTATCTAACTATAAATTTGTAATTAAATTTGAAAGGGTGCATAGTGTTGAGGTCTACCAATAGAGAAGCACATACGAGTACGGTTCTTTCATTCGAAAATTTAATTTTTGCTAAAAAAATACTTTTGAGACTGAATTTTCAGAACTTATTATTTACTTATTATGTACTTAAATATATCGTTCAAAACTACTTGTCATAGTTTTTGATAGTTTATTGAGTTAAAAATAAATGGCGGATTGTTAAATTGGGTTATATTATAAATTTATGAAACTACAAAAGCAACAACTACGTCCTTATCTAAAATTGACTTTTTGACGATTTTTACTTGTTTGGCCCTAACTTCCTTAGTTTCTGCATCCATTTTAATTAGGAGCAAACGGAACACAGCACTAACTATACGCAAAAAAATATGATCTAACAACAGCAATACCTATTGATATAGTTCATACTGACCTACTGGACTACGAATTATACTACAGGCACAGCAAATAAAGCAATATTGGCACCATGCATACATGCTCGCTATGATGGTAAAGACACTACTGTCAGGGGAGAATACAACTTGATCACGTGATAAAAGTAATTTTTAAATAATATTGTTTTACTATTGAATAGATAAAAGTTTTAAATTATATAAAAATTTTAACTTTTACAACCAACTGGTTCACATTTAAGGAATTATACAGGGTGATTCAGAACTTATCCGAAAAAAATTTTTGGATGTACCTACAAGCGCCTCTTAAAAATACAATTTTATAAATAAAAAATCAAAAAGGGCAGTTCGAAAATACACTTCTGCACGGCACTGGAAACTGGTCCACTGTAAAACCTGACCTTACACAAGGAGAAGTGTAATAAAAAAACGGACAAAAACTTGAAAGAATTTCGCAAGGAAAGAAATAAATAGAATTTTTTAACACCTATTTTATATCCTCAAATTCAACTGCTTCTGCCGCTATTATTAAATACATTTGGGCCCGTCTTACTCAGTTCCTACGAACTAACATACATGTTGTTCTGCTTCACCATGACATAAATGTTTCATCGTAATACACATGGTGTCTTGCTTCACCATAAATTAAAATGATATCCATCAACTCCGAGTTGCTATACACGCAAGCCATTTTTGACACTAACTACTAAAAAAACTATTGTAAACACTATCGCAACGACAATTGTAAAATCGGGTTTCAGTATTCATTAATTTTTCTTTCTGTTATTAATGTTTAGATGTTCTCATATCATCCCTTAATTTCTACCCACCCTAATTCTGTTAATCTGAATAGTAGAAGAAAGAGTCAATAGATTATTTTTATGTAAAAATTTTATGCTCTACAACTTTTATATGATTTTTTTTTAAGTTATCTTGAAAAATACTTTATTATAGGTATATTTTTTCACCCTTGGCTGGGGGTTGGAAAAAATTACTGTTACTTATTGTTATTATATACCTCAAACTAACTTATATAAAAAATTCAGGCAAGTTGACCAAAATTGCGAGCTAAAGGCCCATTAAATTGGACTAATGATGTATCTACTAATTATTCACCTTGAAATTAGCTAAATATAAATGAATATCTACATTTATTGATATTTCATATTTTAAAGTAATTAATCCTTTCTCTAGACAGTAAATACAAAAAAAGTAAATCTTTAACGAAATACTGCAAATCAGATAATTGCTCAACACAGTAGCAATCGCATACTGGTTTCAATTAAAGTTTTATCATTCCACGAAGAAAACACAGAAAAGTGAACCAATTAATTCACCATCCATGATCAAATAGAGCCGGTACATTTCATTGGGCTCATTGTGTTTGTTTTTCCTTTGGTCGGTATCGCACGAACGAAAAATCAATTCCGTTCAGTCGCCATCCACGGCAATATTGAAGTTAATTTTCCTTAAACTCGTACACGTGCTCAAGAATAAAAATGCCTTTCCGTTTCTATTGATATATTAGAGAGACATATTACAGATCTACAAAATTATTTAAGTGTTAATTTTAAGATATAATATTTAAGATATGCGATCATTGGTTGTTCCCCACGTAGATATATCTGAAAACAATTGAATTATCAATATTGCCATTAAATTCTACATTTCTAATCAGTACTCAGAATTACTAATCCTGAGACTATCTATCTTTACAAAATACAAAATAGGTTAAGACGAGAAATGAAAGGATGGGAGGTCTAGTATAGTTTTGCATCTGTTCTAAATAATTTTTCAGGTGACATCCGCAACTTCCTCTAGACATCAGTAGTAACGATTAGTAGCTGGTCCAAATAATAATTAAAAATTCGCTAATGCGTATTTGTGCTTTATCTTTAATTAATTTCAAATACAAATACATTACTGCCAAAGGAAGGATAATAGAATACAAATTCCTTTTTTTAGCAAATTGAGAGGGGAATTGAACTATGAAAGAAAAATGTAAAATTTTGGCAACATAGATAAATTAGCGGAAAAGCTGTTGATCGCACGCGCGAAAATGACTCAAAACACGAAAAGTGAGGGAGGGGGGCTTTCCGGGTACTTTAAAATTATAATTTAAAAAAAAAACTAAATTGCAAATTGGTAAATGTAATCTAATTGTGTAAAAATAAAAAACTGTGACCGTCCCAAAAACCATTTGAAATGTTGTGCGGTTTTTTCTATGTAAAAAAATTTTCAAGTTCTTGATGCTTTATTTGAGGCTGTGCAAAATTTTGAAAATTCAAAATTTTTTTTTCAAATTTTTTTTTCACCAAAATTAGAATGCATGCCCTCGGAGCAATTAAAACATTTCAAAAAAATTATCCAAAAAACTTGAGAGATGTTTTTGCCTTTTTCATCAATTATTGCTATTTTGCAACATCGGTAATAAATTTAAACAATTTTAACTTAGAGTAAATTGTGCAAAATTCAATTCTAAATTTTTTTTTCCTCTTCAATATTTTCCTCTTATAAGATTTTCCGTACATATATACTTACATTTTATCTTCTAGAGGACTTTTTATTATTAATTCCAATCTTTTATCTAATATCACAAACAAGTTTTGTTACTTAAAAAGTTATATTGACGTCTAAAACTATTCTTGGAAATATCCCTACCTTTTCATATAAGTAAGTACTTTGAATGCCCCTCTTAAATTACAAACACGACAATGTAACACTTTTTGCCTCGGCATATTTCTACTAAACAAAAGCAGTTTTTTTCCTGAATGTCTCAGGACAAGATAAAATGACATTATAACGAAATTCCAGCATGCATCTGTTGTTCTTAGAGTATAATTACTTCGTTATTCCAGGCTACTGCAATAATGTAGTGCTTCACGAAGAGGTATTTATAATTTAAATCAATCTCTTGATAGGATGCGACGCGGCCGGCGTCTCTCTTATTTTTAATAAAGGTTTTATGTATCGTAGGTGGTTTTTAAAAGTAATTCATCATCTGGTACGCCGGAGAGGCGTCATAATTTGATAGATAAAAATAATGCCGCTTTGCTGTGCTATTTATCATAAATAATGGAACGTACAAAATTAATGAAACAGTTCTGTGTAAGTTGAGTTTAGCCAAGCGATCGTTATGGTGAAAAGAAGAAACTACATCATATTTACACGTTACTTGTATGCGAGTTTAAAAAAAATATATAATCAAGTATATTTGGAAACTTCTCTTAAAGGCTCTTCTAGTATGTTCGAGAAAAAAAATATATATACTCAGTATTAATTTGAAAAAGTACAAAAAATGACATTTTTCTGCTGTTATGGAAAATCAACGACTTCTCTGCAAATATTGCGAAAAATACCAACGTTTGAAGTTTTTTTTTAGGTCAATACATCCCCAGAAGCCTGCAAATTTTGAAATATAAGTTTTATAAAAAATTAAAGGAGCAAGCTTATTGCTCGTCAAACATAAAATAATGATAATTAAGATGAAAAACAGATTTTTGCGTTATTTTTCTCACAATTTTGCGTTAAATACTAGTCAAATGTCGAAAAAAAAATTTGAAATTTGAAAAAAAATTCAATTTTGAAATAGAATCAAATTTTCAAAAATTTTTGCGTTATATTTCTTACAATTATTTCACATTGATTATTCAAAAGTCGAAAAAAAACATTTTTTAAATAGGTATCTATAAAAAATAACATTTATTTTAAAATATTCAGAATATTGTACTGAATCAAAAAATTTGAAAAATAATTGAAAATTTTGAAAATAAACAAAATTCTCAAAATTTTTATATTTATTTTTCACAATTTCAAATTGAATACCTACTTATCAAATGTCGAAAAAAAAGCATGAAGATTCACTTGGGGGTATCAACTTGTGCAATTAATTTTAACTCGATGAAATACGACATGCGAAGAAAAAAATCACATTAAAACTGAACAGGAAATTATTCAGTATAATTTTCTGAATGTTTTGAAATAAAAACATTGTTATCAAAATTTCAAATTTTTTTTATACCTACCTACGTTTAAAAAAAAAATTCTACTTTTGAAATATTCAATGTGAAATTGTAAGAAAGATAAAGCAAAACATTTATGAAGAATTTTATTTTTTTCAAAATTAAATTTTTTTCAAAATTCAAATTTTTTTTTTGATATTTGAGAAGTATTTAACGCGAAATTCTGAGAAAATAACGCAAAAAATATTTTTTTCAGTTTAATCATCATTGATGTTTAAGGAGCAATAAAACATACAAAGATTATTATTTTTCGCAATATTTGCAAAGTAGTCCTTAATTTTCTTAAGCAGAAGTCAATTATTGCACTTTTTCAAATTAATACGGATTATAAAAAAAAATGTTTAGGAGATACGCATTATCAAAAAAAAGGTAACTTTTCACTCAATAGCCAGACCGACAAACACAAAGGACCTAGACACCAACTTTTTGACCCTGCGTGACCACCCCAGATGTCAATGAGAAATAATCGTACAGAAAATAAAAAAAAAACAAATTGAAACTGAGGAATCAGGCTAAATGACCGTGGCATTGATGAAACCAGCAAAATTTTTCTGAGCCCATGGACAGTTTTGACAAAAAAATGTAAAATCTTTGTTGGCTTGTTTTATTTCTTTTGACTGCTCAAAAAAATTTTTCATCACAAAATCTCAAATCTTCAAGAGCTTTCTCGATTCGACCATTATTAAGGAAGTTACAGCCTTTCAAAAATTACTAAAAAAAATTTGGCAATTTTTCGGCTCCCTTTTCTTTTTTGTTGAGTTTATAATAAGCAGTTTGTGGGTACACATGTCTGCAAGTGACCCATTTTAAGTATTACGTCAGGAGCGCCAGTCTGATGTCGGACGGCCTACACTGAAAAAACAATTACTTTCTATTAAAGTAATTGGTTGTTTTGAGTGCAATCAGTTTACATTTACGCTAGTTACATTGATATAAACCGGTTGTGTTTAACACAAGTCATTTGTTTTGTTCGAATTAAAAAAATTAACAGTTTACAACAAATTTGTTTGTAATTAACTAATTGGATTTAATATAACCGTTTATGATTTTATAAGATTTACTAGGTGATTTTAAAAAATTATATTTTTAATATAAATTTATATTCTTTTTTATTTAAGAAACATTATTTTATATTAGCCTATCATAAGTTACATTTAAACTTTACTGTATAATTATTTGAATGATATAAATTCTTTAATGTAAACCAGTAGGTTATACAATTTTAATTTCTAAATAGTTTATAACATTAATCGGTTCAATAATAACAAAGATCATTTAAAATTTACTCCACTCAAATTGTGTTCCCCCCCTGCAATGCCGCTATCCGATGTAACGATACCAGCGGGAATACCTATATTCTGCTCTGTGACGACACAGCACAGCACGTGGAGGAAATATTTGTGCGTGGCGAAGATGTTGAGATGCGCAGCCCGCCGCGCCCAGTACCCAGTAGTATAGATATACCACCTAGACTTGGATTGTACTACTAAGCTGTGCTACTTGTGTCTTGTGTATTTGATGTGCATATGCAGGAGTTTTATATACCTGGTTATTTATTGCTACTAGATAATATATGTATAATCTATAAACTAGTGCATAGTGTTGTGTTCTTAAAAATGGATAAAGAAACTGTCAGCAAGCTCAGGGAATGGGGTCTTGAATCCCTCATTCACATATTTGAAGGTAGGTTAAACTTCATGGAATACTTCTTAAATCTTAACTGTGACTATGAGGTATTAATTAGGTACACCCAATAAATTAAAATAATCTTGTAGAATAACGAATTCTTTACATGTCTTTAGTGGAATACCTATTAAACAAATTTAAAATTGTATCATAAAATATCCAATTAAAATGAAATCTAATTGTAAATTATAATAATAGACAAGTCATGTCATGCCTCGTGCCATCGTTATTACCTATGCTAGCAATTTACAAAATAATTTTTTTATTTTTAACTTCGTAAATTAAAATAAAAGTATAATAGCTTTATTATTAACGACGTAAATTAAATTAAAAATATAATAGTGCTTTTGAAAACAAATATTTTTTAATGTTAAGTAAAATTAATTAAAGAATATGTAGAAGGTGTAAGACTGAAAGTATAACGTCCTTATATTCTATGACTAGATACCTACCTATTATTTAATATTTGTAAAAAGGGTAAAATTTCTATCTGTCAGATCGATCGTAGGAGACATTTTATTAATTTTATATTATTATTGAAATAACGTAAGTAATGATAATGACTTCTATAAACTTGTTTTAGAAAATGAAATTTCACTTAACACATTGCCATTGCTCGATGATGAAACATTGAAGTGTTTAGTACCCAAGATAGGGCCTAGATTAATTATTAAAAAGAAAATTGCAGACATATTAGCAAGGCCAAATAAGGAAGACATATCGTTAGAGGTACTTATTCAAATCAATTTTTTAATAATAATGGTTTTTGAAAATAACTTGCAGAAAGTGTTATTAATATTTAAACCAGAAATTTAAAATATCCAATTTGTCAAATAATAAATAAAATACCAATCATTTAAGTAACTTATTTATGTTTCAGACTTGCAGTGATATTTGTTCCTTTCATTCTGACGAGGCAAGGTACTTATTAAATAATTACTTCGTTTTGAACTCTTATTATTATTATTATTACTATTTTTCAGTACAAGCACAAACGTGCATCTACCGTTCTCCGTGCGTACAAATCTTGAGTAAGTTTTTGGTCATGTATTTTTCAATTACTTAATTGTATTTGATGAAATATATAATTAATACTTATAATTATTTAGCTTGAGTACAAGTACATCATTGTCACACGAAGGAGAATCATTAGAAACTATTTACACCGTATTACCTCTGGAATCCGAAGTTGCCCCTAAAAAACCCAAATTAACTATTGCGAATAATTTTAAAGATTTTGATTTGAAAGACCTTCTTCATAAAACTTGTATGGGAAAGGCTATAATAAATATATATGAAACAAATAAAAATTTGGACTCTAGATCTCAGGGATATCTGGTAGACATTATCTGTCAACATTTATTGAATGCAGAGTATTCGTAAGTATTCAGTACTTGTACTACTTTTCTATCGGTATTTTTGTTTTATTACTACTTAACAATTCATTTCAGGCGTATGACTAATGCTGATTTCAATGTTCTATCAACATATATAGTAAGTCTTTTCCCAAATGAGTCAAAAGATGTTTACTACACTCCACCTGTTCGAAAGAGACACTCTCGGGATAATAAATCTGGTGTAGCTAGAGGGAANAAAAAAAAACGTGGGCTTAACTTTTGGCGGCACAATATGTTAAAAAAATTCAAAAAATGTTATATTTTTCTTCCTATTTAATTATGTATCTTTTCAAGAGTTGATTTTAGGCGAAAATGGAAGAGGAAAAAAGTATTTGTAATTAAATTTTTTTTACAAAATATGACTAGTTACAAATCGAATTATCATGATTATTATTGTAAAAATCGAAAAACTCGCCAAAAATGGGATTAAAATAGATTACTTTTTAGGGATTTTTTTTGGGGTCTTTAAATTGGGTATAGGACCTTCATACTTGGCCCAAGAAAACTTCATGTTATGTAGAATCATCACATCAAATTTCATCAAAATCGGTTCTATAGATTTTGCATAATAATTTTGCAATCCAAATTCTGAAAAAAAAAAAATTGCAAATTTTCAAAATTTTGCACAGCAAAAACCAAGGCCCTTAGATATTTGAAAATTTAATCACATATAGAAGGGCTCTCAAGCTTTCAAACGCTTTTTGAAAGATTCAAATCCGTCAATTAGGAGAGCTCTGGCGCTTGGTTAAACATTGGTCGAATTTTTGTACTAAACAATTAGTATTTTGTACTTATAAACAATCTTTGTAAATATTCGACCAAATCAAATTTTTTAAAATAGGTCTTAAAAGTTCTTGGAAATACGCTTCTTAAAAAAAAAACAGATCGATTGGTCAATTAATTACGTAATTATAGCCGATCAAAGTTAACTGTCATTTACACTAAATGTAATGGGACATCCGTTCTAATTTTTCGAAAAATGCCTTTGCTATTCCGAGTACTTACCAGATCTAAGTTCCCTAAAAAGTAATGTATTTTAACTCCATTTTTGGCGATTTTTTCGATTTTTACAATAATAATCATGATTCATTCGATTTGTAACTAGTCATATTTTGTAAAAAATTTAATTACAAACATTTTTTTCCTCTTCCATTTTCGCCTAAAATCAACTCTTGAAAAGATACATAATTAAATAGGAAGAAAAATATGACATTTTTCGAATTTTTTTAAAAAAGTTAAGCCCACGTTTCTAATGATATTTGAAAGCCAAAAAGCCAAAAATCTCCGTGGATATACGATTCACCCAAACATGGACTTTTTGAAACAGATACCGTTTGGACTATAGTAGCAGTAGCAGTTCTAGCAACACTTCACTTAACTTATTGTTAGACATATGAAAAAACTGAACTACAGTACCCATGGATACAGTAGTTCATAGCAGTATGTTCACGTCACATTGGTACACTTGCTTTGTTATTAAGCGGATACGTAATTAATTCCTATTAGTTAGTGTTTATGGTGGTATATTGTAGACAATTTGTTGCTTTTTAATAAATAATGCGTACGCCTATGTCTTGCGGCTCACTTCTGACAGCCCTACTAAACTAACCCTATCCAACATTTAGTTCGTACAGGGTACTTCCAGATGGTATCCTGTGTCCAATGCCACAAAAACTTTTAGTAGAATTTGGTATCCAGTTTGATTAAAAAATTATTGGAAACATTTTTTTTATACAAACACCCCATTGTAAGTGTAAGTCTACTACCTCATTTTATTTTTTCTTGTGCCATAATTAAGGCTTATCGATATTCCAAGCCAGCTTTTTTCTTTTGTTTTCAGTGGCTGAATCGCTACTTTAGATGGATTTTTGAGAAATTGTGATTAGTTCCTTTTGTTTATCTCAAAACCAGCTGTATCGTTTATACGTTTCTGTAATTGATTAAATTGTCTATAAATCAGAATATATCAATATTCACCAGAATAATATTACAAAATTACGCAATACTTAAACAGAACCGGTTTTAGACCTGCTAAGTATAAGTTCGGGTCTAGGGGGGCTACGAGGTCTACAGCCCTGGACCTCATGAGCTTGGAGGTCGCTAATTTCTTGAACTTTTTTTTAGAGAAAATGGGCTTACATAGGTTAATACGGCCCTGCTAAGTATAATAAATTTTGAAAAATTATATTTATCTTTTGTGTATCATGGATAAAAACTAACGTTATATCACGAAGTTTAGAATTACAATGTTATAATCATTAAAATTCTACTTGCAACTAACTTTTTATTTGTCATTTGCCATTTGCAAAACCTGTCCCCCCTAAGCCGGTCCCTTGCAGAAATGAGGAGAATCATCCGGGTCACCACATCAAGGATTCTTGATGTCTGTTAACTGTATTGCGGCGCGACAAATTTTGATAACTTTTAGGAAAGGTCAACCTGGAAATCAAAATGAAAACTCAACAGTGAGATGTGCGATGTTTGTTTGGAATGCTACTGAGTGAATTCTTTTTATGTTACACTTAAATATGTTTACGTACCTATTCAAGCGTAGATATTTTTTACTGTATTTGAGGAAAAATCGCTTTCCATATGCATTAATAATATTAAATTACTCCATCACAGCGGAATCGTAATTAACCTTTATCATTTTTTAATAAATTGAGATTTTTTCAGAACGTTCATTAAATTTTTTCAATCTTCATTAAAAATAATAAAACGTATCAATGAAAGAACAATGAACCTTTTTTTGTATAATTATAGTAATTACATCCAACACATCGAGGTAGATGCCAATAAAAAACGAATATTTTTTAGAGAAAAATTGTTAGACTGTTTAATCAATTTTTCAGTCTAGTGAACGTAAACATAATATTTTTTTTATCGCAGATGAAGCAATACATTGTCTTTTACAACCTGGGTAAAGTACCTAAATAAATTATAGACATTACCTCAAAGTATAAATTTGAATAAGTAAAGTGAATATTTATATAAATCCCGGAATATAAATTATCTTCGAACTGAATGACATGATAAAGATATGTGTACAATGTACATATATGCATGGGGCCCCCTAGAAGTTCGGCAATATAGGCCAGGAAAAAGAGCTGGTAAATGACCATTTCGCGATTTTTTGTTTCGGCAAGCTGAATTTATGGTCAAAAAATATTGATTAGATCAAAAGTTATAAACAGAAGAAGTTTATTTATGACTTTTAAATTAAACATTTATAAACTGCTTTATTATTACCAGAACGTTTTGGCATCGCATACTTTCATTCCTTATCACCACAGTATATTAGTATACTGTGCTTATCACTGTCTAATAACTCACACGAAATCTGGAATCGATAAGTTGAATAGTTTACAAGTTATGGCCTTATAAACAAATTAACAAGACTGTCGAAGTTGACGGCTTATTATTAAACAAATTAGGTAGGTAGCGGCAAAAAAATACTGTCATAACCGGCAACCCGAGTACTTTCCCAGATAAAAATATTTTATTTGTGTGTGTGTTAAGTGCATAAGAAATATTGTCAAAGTCAGTGGGTCGCTTGATTTTTCAGCGAGCCGTGGCGCGGCGCAAGGGTGGGGGAAGCGGACGACAGCGAGTCCGAAGAAAATGACGATAATATTCACAGTCCTGCCGTTAAAAAAAGCGTAATTCGCTTGAAAATAATATATTTGACAGTCTGTAGCTCCGTTATTTTTCAACGAATCTTGACGATTTTTTTTTAACTTAAAGCTCTTTTCATAAGCTTTCCGAATATGTAATAATATATAACTATATCACGCGCGTGCGTCGTATATTTCATTTTGCAACAAAGGCTAAAAAATAAAAAAGTTTCCAGGTTGCAAATTTGAAATTAAAAAAAAATTATAGATTTCAATGTATTATTATGAAATCTACCATGAAAAAAATCAGTGCGATTGTGGAAGATGCTCGGGATCGTCCAGACTAATAATTAGATTCCAGATTTCGTGTGAGTTATTAGACAGTGATAAGGAATGAGAGGATGCGATGTCAAAACGTTCTGATAATAATAACGCAGTTTATAAATGTTTAATTCAAAAGTCATAAATAAATTTCTTCTATTAATTTTTGATCTAATCAATATTTTTTGACGCTCGAGAGCTAGTTTTGTAGGTTTTTTGAAGACAAAAAAATTACTTTACTGTTTTCTCGTGGAAATGAAGGGAAAAAAGTTATAAGCGAAAAACGTGAATTTACGTAAAAATTATACAATTAATCAGCTTGTAAATAATCTTTCCCCCATTTTTATGAATGTGGAAACTAATATGTTATTGCACATAATATTTAGCATCTATAGTGATAAATTCAGCTTGCCGAAACAAAAAGTCGCGTCCAACTCTATATTTCCTGGCTTGTAAGGTACAGCCACAAACAATCTTGTAAGATTTTGATTTGGGAGCTCGTTTACGAGATATTGTAACTCTTTTGGATACGAGACATCGATTTAGTCGACGTCAGACTTTATTTTTTGGGGCTATTTGAAATATCTGACTCGTTATTTATTTCAGTTTACAGAATAAAATTGAAATGATCATCATCATGATCAGCTATATTTAATTTGAGCTAAATCTAACATATCTAAAAAGTTGCAATATTTCGTACAGCAAGCCCCAAACCAAAATATGTGGTTTCAGCCTAAAGTGCTCTTTAGTGCATACAATTCATTTCTTTAACTGTTGTTTAGTTAGTATTGGTACCATATAGAAGAAATTTTTCATAAAATCCCAAAAATTAAAGTCTAACGTCGACTAAATTGATGTAGCGTATTCAAAAAAGTTACAATATCTCGTAAATCGAGTTCCAAATCAAAATGTTACAATAGTGAAAAAAATAGAATGAAACGCCACTTTATTAAAAAATATATATTTGGAAAGCCTAGTCTTACTAAAGAAAAAAAAAAAAAAATAGGGGTCTACGGGTGCTGCAACCCCCCTCTCCTCCGTTCGCGCTTTGATATTTTAAACTAAAATTACACAGAAAGTGTGCCGACTTAAGAACAAAATATGTGCTAAACAAATAAATATCTCGACAATCTCCCCATATTTTGAAAATGGGGCTCCGAAATAAAAAGAGACATAAAAAAGTCCCATTATTTTAATCCAAAGAATATGTGCTTAATGGGTTGACCTACTAATTTGTAACATGCTGTATATTAAAAACATAACCCTCAAAAATTATTTTCATGAAAGAATCATCAGGGCATCTCCGTTTTTACAGGAAGATACATATTATGAATAAATACAATATGACCAAAAGCATGTTGCTCTGGAATTAGAACATTGAGAAACATTAGAAATGTACTCAGATAGCTCAGAGTCAGACAGACTAAATATCTTTTAAGTGAATTTTTTTATTATTTTATTTGCTTCATGCTGAAATTCGATTAAAAAAACTTTAAATGTTGTGTTTGAATATAGAGATGTGATATTTTGTTTCTGTTCGTTGTTTAGTTATGAAAAATTTCCCTAATATATTTTCCTAATACAGTTTTTCGATATTTTATTCGAAAAATTGCATTTTGCTTACTAAAAATTATTTTTAATGTGATCCTAAGAAAGCCTAATACTTCTTTTAGAAATAAAACTGTTTCAAATTAGTTTTTGATCAAACTTTTGATTATTGCCCAAATCAATAAAAATCATTTTTAAATTTTAATTTTCTCACCCTGTATTTTGAAAATGGGGCTCCGAAATGAAAAGTGGCATAAGAAAAGTCCCAGAATTATTTAGTCCAAAGAATATGTTATTAACTGGTTGACCTACTAATTTGGAACACTCTGTATAGTATTATTTATTGGCAAGCAAAAGTTCGATTTTTTTCTTTCATTTTTTTATAATTTTCTCCGCCTAATATTTCTGTAAATTTTAAACCTTGAGCCTAACCACTCTGACTATGTTTCCAACAATTCCAGAAAATGTAGCAGTACACTATTACACCAAACGAAAGATTCTGTCTATGACATTTTCTGTGAATAACGACGAAACGTTTGGAAGCATTTAATGCGACTTATAACCAACAATAACAACCGAATTAACATCAGGGCAGGCCTAGGGGTTCCGATAGCGGGTTCTCCCCCACAGAGCTTAGCCCGAGAATAACAAGGGCAGGTTGAAGATTTCCAACTAAGGCTACGGAAGTGTACATCTGTAATAACCCAAAAAATCATCGTACCTACTTTGAATATCATCATTGGCCGTGATAGACTTAATCCCACTGTATTTTGTTTATTCAAATTGAATTTTTGGTGACGGGGAAGAAAATTTAATTTCTGAACTGGTTAATTTTTTCTTATTCTGTCAATGACGAGTGGATACTACTGTATGTTCGGTGAGATATTTATTGCCCCGTGTTAATTCATATATTAATAAAAATCGTCAATTATAATATATGGTTTTTACGATGTACTCACTTACCTTGGACCTAACAGGAGATTATGTATTCTGATCTTTTAAAATAAATTTCTCCGTTCCGTATTAACGACGCCCAGTTATACTGTTATTAGCGAATCCATATCGATGTACCTTAATGAAAATGGAGAATTTGCTCGATTGTAGAAGATACGATTCATTGTTTATATTGTTTGTCTTCAACATATAACTACTTAAGTTAATACTACTCCGTACAAGTCAGGAGTGTAACTGTAAACATATAAAGTATTGTTGCATATATGTACAATTTAATTTTAATTTAATGGATCTTCAAAAAGGCATCTTTAAATATATTATGTAAGTTACTAATACATTTTTTCATTTTTCAGACACAACAAAAAGTTCACGTTCAAACAAAAAGTAGCCCTCATGATGTTGGGTGCTGCGGATTTCATGAGTTTCTGCTCAATGTCCATCATGGCCCCCTTTTACCCCAAGGAAGCTGCCAGCAAGGGAATGACGGAGTCGATGGCTGGATACATTTTCGGATTTTACGCTTTAGTTGTGTTCATATCATGTCCGGTTTTCGGGAAAATTGTAAGTTGAAGAATACCGACATGTATCTGGACTAATTTTAACTTTTTTACTTGTCAGCTACCAAAACTAGGAGTGAAGTTTTCATTCATAGGGGGATTGCTTGTGTCTGGAGTGTGCAGTGTTATTTTTGGGTAAGTACTTGACATATACGAGATGTTTGCAACATTGTCAATCGAAATTCACTTGAAAATTCTTATAAATAAAGTTACGTTACTTTAATTTTAGGATGCTACACACAGTACAAGATTACACCCTTTTTACAACGTTGTCCTTTACGATAAGAGGGTTTGGCGCTCTAGGGGCTGGTATATATTCCACGGCTGCCTACGTCATTATAATTAATATTTTTCCGGATAATGCAGGCGCTGTAAGGGTAAGTTTCACTTTGTCTCATATCTGCATTGTCCAGAGAGGGTGTATCTTTAAGTGTAGGTCTGTTTCTTAAGTGTACTTTTTCCCCTGAATACTAATCTGGAATAATATTTTTTATATCAAATAAATAATTGAGTTATGATTTATTGTTACTTTTTAAAACTAATTATATAAAATTCATAGAGTATCAGAGGGCGAAACTGCAATGGAAATTAATTTTGTAAAAACATATTGCTTTTGCGTATCCTGATTTGTGACGTGTTATTTTAAAGTCACCATATTTTTTTGATATCAAGCGGATGAAGCTAATCATTAAAATAATTTTCCCACGTTTTTTAGAACTTAAATTTTTTGCATGGTTTCTGAAATATTAATATATACTTTGCTAATTGTTTAGTAAAATTAACTTAGTTTGTGAATCTCATGATATTTCTGAGGAGGAAGATAAAAAATTGTAACTATATAAACTTATTTACTTAAAAAACATAACGACGTATATCCTACTTTAGGAGTTGACCTAGGTTTGGGATTAAATTAGTCTGTGCAGCGGCGGGGTATGAAAAATTATTAATACATTTCTATTTTTATGACGGAATTTGAGAAAACGAACTTATGATATGTATTTCTAAACGTCAAAAGTAACTTTCATATAAAAATGGCGCCCGTTTAAAGATACACCCTGCATATTAATTGCAAGATGTTTATATTTCATTTAAGGGCTCTTCAACCAAATTTGATATATTGGGAGTATCCAAAAATTAAGTTTATGTTAGTTTCTTCATTTTAGGGGCTACTAGAGACCTTCGTAGGACTTGGAATGAGCGCAGGCCCTGGGATAGGTGGAATATTGTTTGCGGTAAGCATTAATTTTTTGTTGATGAGTTTAAAAACTATATTACAACAATATAGATCGAGGCCGATCTGTTTCGAGGTGGATGTGAGAGGGGGCAAGCAAATTTTTTCTGGATTTTAAAAAAAAACATAATTTGCAAATTGGTAAATGTAATCTAATTATTGTTTAAAAATAAACAAAAAGAGTGTTAACTTTAAAAATTTTCTGTGGCCATCCTAATCAACCGATTTCAATTATTCAAAAACCATTTGAAAGGTTGAGCGATCTTTTCTATGTGAAAAAATTTTCAAGTATCTAGATGTTTTATTTGAGGCTGTGCAACATTTTGAAAATTCGAAAATTTTTTTCAAAATTTTTTTCAAAATATTATTTCGCGAAAACTCGAACCGATTTTGATGAAATTTGGTGTGCTGTTTTATTATACTCTAAAGTTTTTTTTACCAAAATTAGAATGCCCTCGGAGCAATTAAAATATTTTTAAAAAATTATCTAAGAAACTTGATTATTTTGCCTTTTTTTCGTCAGTTATTGCTATTTTGTAACATCGGAAATAAATTTAAACATCTTTAACTTGCAGAATTTTATGTAAAATTCATTTCTAAAACTTTTTTTCCTCTTCAATATTCTTCCAAAATGCATAGGTTCGAAGATATAAGTAAAAAACTAGGTATTTTTAAAATTTTTTTAAATATTTTGCAAATTTGAAAATGTTCCGGACCTCGCCCAAATCTAGCAAAAATTAGCTTGCCCTCTCTTACATCCAAGATGTGGGATATTTTGACAGATCTGGTCTAAATAAAAATATTGCTGTGTAGGAAATATACTAAATAAAAGATTCTACAGGGTTATTTTTTATTATTTTCTTCTTTGTTTAAAAAGAAACAGTTCATCAGATTTTTTTTATTTTAATTGATTAATTTTTCCAGGAAGATTGGAGGGTTTGGATTACCATTTTACGTGGTGGGACTCATAACCATTTTGATCGCCCCATTAAACATCTACTTACTTCCTCCTACCCAAAGTAAGTACAGAGTCTGTTGAAATTAGTATACAGGTTCGGAAAGTCCCCATGGTACATCGGCCGTTACGTAAGAGGGATAAAGTAAGTCACAGAAATCCGTGCGATAGACAAGGATGGTTCCATTGAAGACGTTTCATAATCTGAATAGTCAGTCCCACTTCTAACCCGAAACAGGCGGTGACCATTCAGATTATGAAACGTCTTCACTATAGCTATCCTTGTCTATCGCACAGATTTCTTTACTTTTCTTTGTCGCTCTCATGTAAAGGCAGATGGACCATGTGGATTTTCCAGCCTGTAGATTTCTGTACAAATTACAGTGCTTCGTTCAACTTTTCACTAATAACTATACAAATATCAATAAATTTTAGAGTGTGAAGTCGGAGTGAAATCAGGATCTTTAAAAAATCTATTAAAGCTAACACCCGTCATGATGACGTGTCTGATAATGATGGTGGTTGCGATGACGTGGGGATTCTTGGATCCTACGTTAGAACCTCATTTGAGGAAGGTATGTCAAAAAAAATTTAGTTAACTGGTGATAAAAATTCATACATTTTTCTTAGTTCAAATTAAGCCCCGGAAACATAGGACTGATATTTTTACTACTGTCAGCTATGTACGGAATATTTTGTCCTGCCTGGGGCTGGCTGACGGACAAATTGGAAAACTATTGGTGGTTGATGACGACTGGTCTCTTCTGTAACTCAGTGGTTCTCCTAGTTATGGGTCCGTCACCTATTTTAAGTTTCTTAAAAGAGTAAGTGATCTCATTAGTCATTACGATGTACAACAATACACCTACTTATTATTTAATTGGCTAGGTTACAGTTTGATGAACTTAATAAATAGTAGCTACTTTGGTCGAATTAACTTAAGTATAATGTAACATTTCCGTTTATAAAATATATTTTTGTTTCTGTTAAGAACGTAAAATATCCATATAATTGTGTCTTTTTATCTGCATTGTTCTCTTCTAGTTCGATATGGTTAAACATCGTGTCGCTGTCCATACTAGGAATTTTCGTCGCAATGTCTTTAATGCCTACATATCAGTTCATACTTGACAGTGCCTTGTAAGTATATTTGTCGTTGAATTCATTTTCATAGAATCGCCCTGTATTTTGTTGCATAAATGATGGTGATAATAGAGTTTGACATCTGCGTGCAAAGCCATCAGCGTCGCAAAAGTATAATGTAATGCTGTATGTACCTTTTTGCTCTAATAGGAACTTCAGGTCAATAAAACACTTTCACAAACATATTTAATAAATTTGGTTATTGTTTTAATAGACACAGCTCACACGCTGATACATTTTATGTTCTATTTTTGATGTAGCGGCTATTATCATTATCAACGCATGATGCCGATCCCCACCTCTACGCTTTACTTATGCACCTAAATGTCGAGGTCTAGTTGAAAGAATAAGTAAATAGCTTACTATAGTCCTCTCCATTTATTTTTAGGGAAAATGGTTTCATTGAGAACCTCGGGACGCACAGTGTGATAGCAGGCCTATGGTCATCTGTTTATTCTCTGGGGGAAGTACTCGGACCAGTGTTAGGTGGATATCTAATGGAGAAATACGATTTTCCGACCACGACTACTACATTTTCCGCGTTAAACTTTGCCGCTGCCCTCTGTGGAATGCTGTTCTTTATGAACAGAAGGAAATTAACACTAGTACCGACCACGATTCCACTGGGGCAACATGAGAATATAAAATACTATTCAAAAGACTTAGTACAATTGACGAATCATGATCTCGAGAAAAATAATAAAAATGGCAATATGTGGATTGAATATGTCAAATCTAAAAACTAAATACCTAGTAATAATGTAATAATTATTTTTCTTTAGATAATAAAAGACGCTTACTAATGTTTCAAAAATATAAAAAAATTGTATTAATGTTTAAGAACAGTGTACTAAAATAGGTTTAATTACAGTATTATAAAAAGCAATAGGCAAATTAAAATTAAATGAAATTTTAAAAGAAAAGTTGTCTAATTTTTGTACAGTATTTAAGTTCAACTTCACGTAGGTATATATATCATTTTCTAAGTGATACCTACATATAAATGAATTATCAAATATTAGCTCTACTGGATTATAACAGAATTATATAAGTTTAGATAGGTACTCCAGAGCTGTTTTCGGGTGCAAAACATTAAGTTCCTGGTACACGACGCTGTTTTAATATAGATAATGTTTGCACTACGCATAAATGCCCATATAAAAATCATATCGTTTTGAATTTGAAATTTGTTAACAATGGGAAACTATGTAATAGTACGAATACATTGTATAAGTAAATACTTACTTATACAATGACAGTACCTATTACTTTTCACTTTAAAGTTAAGGAGAAGAAGAAGAAGTCACTATTTAACCTACAAAACATTTGTTTAAAATGTTGTTAGGTTAAGGTTATGTTTTATGTTTTATTACAATTTCACGTGTACTTTTGTATAGATTTATACTACCGAGTTACTAATAAAAATGCCTAAAATAAAACCAGAAAAAAAATCTAGAATACATCAGGATGTCGCTAAACAAGGTGCTTATTAATAATAATGTTAATAATAACCAAACAGTGTAAACTAATTGCCATCTCAAAAATTGTAGGTATTCTGTTTAACAAAGACTTTGGACAGCACATCCTTAAGAATCCCATGGTAATAACTTCAATGCTGGACAAATCCGGACTTCGTCCAACAGACGTAGCTTTGGAAATAGGTCCCGGTACGGGTAACATGACTGTAAAACTGCTCGAACAAGTGAAGAAAGTAATTGCATGTGAAATTGACACCAGATTGGTAGCTGAGCTACAAAAAAGGGTACAAGGGACTCATTTCCAACCCAAACTGCAAATTATGGTCGGGGACGTGTTAAAGACTGAATTGCCTTTCTTTGACATTTGTGTGGCAAATATCCCGTACCAGATATCCTCACCTTTAGTTTTTAAGTTACTGTTGCATAGACCATTCTTCCGATGTGCTGTGTTAATGTTTCAACTAGAGTTTGCACAGAGACTGGTTGCAAAAGCTGGTGACAAATTGTACTGTAGGTTGTCGGTGAACACTCAACTCTTGGCTCGAGTGGATATGTTAATGAAGGTAAGATCTTGATTGTAAGGATAACGGAATTTTTTAATATCGGCAGGAAAATTTTTGTTTAGGTGAAATATTACATGTCGTATCTAAATGTCATTGCTACTACAGGTCGTGAGCTATCGATGGCACAATCGATAATTGTCGATATCTGTCACTAATTATATGGTTGGTTAATTAAGAACAATCGATAGCATGATTTTAGCTGAATGTTGCCGTCTTAGGGTTTTTTAGACTAGAACTAAGGTGCTTATGACCTGTTGTGGTCTTTAGGTCGTAAATTTTTTAGGTTGGCAGAAATAACTTCAGGCCTCCACCGAAAGTAGAATCTGCGGTGGTGAGAATTGAACCAAGGAATCCTCCACCTCCAATACCATATACTGAATGGGACGGTATGACTAGAATTACATTTACACGTAAAAATAAGACTTTAGGTAGTGCATTCCGACAGACTGCTGTCTTAGCTGCTTTGGAAAAGAACTACAAACTGCACTGCAGTGTGCATAATAAGGTATTTTATTAGTAGAACTGTTGTTGTTAATATCTGTTTCGTTTTGTTATTTTTTTTAGGAAATTCCAGCAGATTTCAACATAAAAAGCAAGATAGAGGAGATATTAACGAAAATCGAGGCAGATCAAAAACGAGCGAGGACTATGGACGTAGACGATTTCATGACGTAAGTAAAACATAAATGAACAATGATAAAAATTTTATTGACTTAAAATCTTGGCAGATTATTATTTGCATTCAACAGCGAAGGGATACACTTCTCGTAGACATCTAAAGGTAACTTTAAGTATATAATAACAATATTTGTATATAAAAATGGGTATGTACAGTGAATATAAAGCTAAATTGTATAGTTTAATACAATATGTAATTAATATCTTTGGATTTACATAATACTAATAAATAAATAAATACATCGGCTGATTTAATTTCCAAAAATATTTTTTCAGTCACTACAGTGACGGTAGGGGCTTCCTTTCCTAAAAATAGAAATTATTGCATTACAAATTTTGTTAAAAGTGTTTATTATATTAAAATTAACAAAAAATAGCTTGTTATTAGAGATAAAGGATTATCGTAATTGAATAATTGACATATCAGTTTTGGAATCTTTGGTAATCCACTACACGTTAGATTATCTCTGATAAGCCGTATTAAAAAGCATAATACAAATTCCATAACATTTCCAATGTTAATTTAGTTGGTTTTATATGATTCCCTGATTTTCAAGCTATCAGTAAAATCAGTATTTTGTTGCATTCGACATGAGTATTTACTCTTTACTAAAAAAAAAACAAAACTGCTGATAATTTCGATAATACTTGAATAAAAAAAACATAATTGGCTCATTTTCTTTGAATTATAAGGATTAACAACTGTATGCACTCAAAAATATTTTGATTATGAAACGAATTAATCTATAAGTGATTGCTGGTAATTTATTTATTACAAAATAAATTAATTTTACCTGGATAACAGTTTTCTTTTCCTCAATTCCTCAATGTTTCCCGCATCTGTTTCGACAGACTTCTAGCCGTTAAACTTGAAACTACCGTGCTCTTAGCCTAAAATTCATCATCACAGCATTATTTTACTTTTTTAATATTTGAATAACTTACATCGTTATTCTCGAATCTCTTCTTCAAGTCCTTAACAGAAATACTGATTTCCTCGGAATCGGTCGACATTTTTCTCTCTTTTGGTATCTCGAGTCTGGAAGTACCCACCAAGTTAGGTTGGGATTTAGTAAACTGGCCCAGTATATTGTGAACGATTTTTTTCTTTGCTAATTCATTGATATCGGGATCAGGAGTGGCCATTTTCCTTTCATACGTAATTTCTTCCCTTGCGGATTGCTTTATTTTAGGTGTTGCTGGAATCTCTTCTATTTTCAAACTGTCCAGGCTCATACCGGAAGTTATAGAAGTTCCGTTAGGTTCGTGTGATTTGACAAGGGTTTTCTCCACGTCCCTAAACTGATGGACGGAGTGATCTGAGAGCAAATCTTCATTAGAACTAGATAGATATCTGGGTGATTTTGGTATCGTATCTTCGGAAACAGGAATATATTCCCTGTTTGTTAAAGCAAAGTTTCGTACGTTTGGGTCTTGGTATATCTTCGAAATCAGGGTGTTATCCCTTCTTTTCGGTAGCTTTTCAGGTTCATCTATCGACAGTAAGTCTTCACTGGAACTGTAAATAAGGCTTCTTGTACTTTTTGGTCTAGGCTTCTCTAAACTCAATGAACTGTCCGAGAGCAGCCCGTCTTCTGAACTCACCGATGGTCTTGAGTGTAGTCGGTAGCTCCTTACGTTTGGGTTTTGGAAACCTTTAAAAGCGGAGTTGCTTTCGTTAACAGCTGAATGATTGGAGCTTAAGTCTTCTTCTGAACTGTAATAGGACTTTTTGCGGATGTAGTTTGATGACAAACCGTCGTCCGAATTGTAAGAAGGCTGTTTCACGTTGTTATTCATCGCGTGAGCTAATACAGTGGCATCCAAGCTGAGTTGGTTCCTAAGAGGTGGTTTGCTGATTTCTACATCTTGCACAGGAAGTTGGTTTCTGTTTGACAGAGCGAAATTGCGAACGTTTGGATCAAGATATATCTTGGAAATGAGTGTGTTGTCTTTTTTCCTACTAATGACAGTTGGGGGTTTATCGAATGAATCATCAAGCAAGTCGGTCTCGCTTTTAAACCTCTTCAAAATTTGAGAATTGTCCTTTTGGGGTAAGGTCCTTTGTCTAACAGTCGGTGTAGCCTTTACGAAATTGGGTCTGTCTTCTATCTTGCCTTTACTTATGATTTTTCTTTCATTTGTGGAAGGCCTTTCTTGACCACTTGCTTCTGCGCTGTCTGCAGAAGGATGCTTGTCCTTTTCGCTTGCCAAATTACCGTTCATGTCGGATTTTTCAGTTTCAACTGATGGCATATCAATGACTGGTTCTTCAGGTAGAATCCGTGCTTCTATAAGAGTTACTTGTTCGCTGTTCTTCGTCCTTTTGTAGATCTGAGAGTTTTCCACGTCATAGAAATTGACGTAGCTCAAATCGCTGTCGCTGGTCAATTCGGAAGAGGCCAATTCCGCTACTTCTATTACCGAAGGTGTCTGATACTTTATTTCAGGACTGATCGGAGCCTCTTCCTCCTGAGATATGAAAACCGGAATGGCTTTATGAAGGCCGTCTTCTTCTCTGGGTTCCGGTGGGGGCCAAACAACTTCTTTTGCCTAGTTATTAAAAAAATTGCTTAGAGTTTAGGTATGGATATACGAAATTGATTTCTACCACCTAACTTTACCAAAACTAGAAAAGCTGAACACGTGGCACAAAGGAATATGATGAATTAGTATTTTTGAATAAATAACAATGAGTAGAGTTTTCTTTAATTTCTAATTAACATTTTTTCATTGTCAAATATTGTTTTGAAAATTTGATTTGAAAATTGTATGAGAATTAATAAAAGGTCAATATGTCTATGATGGGATTCAAGCTTTTGAGTATTGTTAGTATTGCCAAATGCTCTCTACCTATGTTATATACATTGTTTAATGATTAAAGACAAAAATATATTCCTGCTAGTGCAAAAACTTAATGAGACACAAAACAAGGTATCATACAAACATACACGTTTATTTTATGCCCTAGACAACAAAAACACTTAAGTTTTATGCACTAGTTACAGTAGCTTATGAGAACTTACCGATATTTTCAAAAGTAACTACATTTTTCGTCAATAGAAAGAAACAGGTCATGTTAAAGCTTTATTTTTTATTTTTACAATACTTTAACAATACTCAACAAACAACCACAGTTACCTTAGTAATAAAAAATATTTTATTTATTTTGTGTCCAATTTTTGGCTATACTTAAAGAAAAAATGTCTGTAAAAGAGAACAAACGTCACAAAGAGCTGTAGTTTTCGGGAAAATTAAGCAACGGGTTTTTTACGAAATTCCTGCTGGAATTTCTGGGCGAATATAGGCTCCTTGGCAGGCTAGAATACGTCGAGGATTCTTCTAACTCAGTGATTTCTCTGGCTAAACTTACCTCCGTTGAATTTACTTTCCCTCCCGATGGAGACGACGCTTGTCGAGCGTAGTAGTCTGGACCAAATCTGCAAGGGAAAAAAGTATAAACGAATAATAGAATTTAAAAATTCACATGAAAATAAATTTTGTCCAACCAAATTACACTTGGAGAAAAAAAAATTGTTACTTAGACTTTTATAAGTGAAAATGGTAAAAGGGCTTATAATAAACCTAAAAAATAAATACGTGAGCAGTGGTGACGGAGGGTTGATTTGGGGGTTGAAAAGTTGTGAAAAATTGTATCATTGGGATTTCTGGCGAAATTTGACGTCGAACAAAAAAGTATCCAATGTAAAAGTTGTAGATCATGCAAAAATCTACAACTTTTGTAGAGGTCACTTTTTACGGTAACCTCAAAATTTCCGAGAAAAATGCGAAAAACAGTTTTTTTCTGATTTTTCGTATTTTATTTCTCATTTCCCCAAAAATAACTTAATTTTGACGAAACTTGGTGAAAGTATACCTTTCTGTGTCTTAAATAACGAAAAATAACCATAAATAAAAAAAATCAAAAAGTTTCCGAGATATTCATTTTTTCCGGTCTGAAACACTTTTTTTTCAAAGAAAAATTCTACTTAGGAAAATCATCAAAGATTATTTTTTTCGATTTGACATCTTTTTAGTGAAATAAAAAAATCTGCTATCACAGTTCAAAAACATGTTCAATAAGTTCAATAATGCAAAAAAAATAAATAACGAATTGCAACAATGAATTTTTCATTAATTGTTGATAATTTTCTAAGTAGAATTTTTCTTTGAAATAATAGTGCTTCAGACCGAAAAAAATGAATATCTAGGAAACTTCTTGATTTATTTATTTAAAAAAATTTGCGGTTATTTAAGACACAGATACTTTCACCAAGTTTCGTCAAAATTAAATTATTTTTGCGGAAATGAGACATAAAAAACAAAAAATAAGAAAAAAAACAGTTTTTCGCATTTTTCTCGGAAATTTTGAGGTTATGTTGAAAAGTGACCTCTACAAAAGTTGTAGATTTTTGCACGATATACAACTTTTGTATTGGATACTTTTTTGTTTGACGTCAACTTTCGCCAGAAATCCTAATGATACAATTTTTCACAACTTTTCAACCCTCCGCCATCCCTGCTCACGCATTTATTTTTTTTCCCTTTATTATAAGGCCCTTTACCATTTCCACTTATAAAAGTCCAGGTAACAATTTTCTTTTTTTTCCCTCATTCATTTGAAATGGAATGTCAAGTTGAAAAAATTGATCATTTTCGCTGCTTAAGCTGCTCGGGAAATCTGCCACATATGGTGATGCGATGAATGAACGAACGGCCAGTCGATAGTTTTCAGGATTTAAAGAAGGTGATTTTAACCTTAAAGACCGGAATCGTTCCGGACGCCCTGTTGAATTTGATGAAGAGCAATTGAATCGACTCCTTCACGAAAATCCAAGACAATCACAAGGGAATTGGCTCAGGATGATATGATTACAAAACAGTAGTAAACCACCCTCTTTCGATAGGAAGTTCAAAGACTGGCGGACGTTTGGGTCCCATATGTTTTGAACGAAAACAACAAGAATCAACGCTCTGCAATTGCCGCTGGCTTGCTCTGCATCGATCAGCACATGACCACATATCGCCAATATGACCAAAACGGACATTCGGGAGTTGAATTGGGAAGTTCTGCTCCACCCGCGTTACTATTTCGATCTCGCGCCTTTTCACCTCTTCCGCTCTTTGTCAAACTCCTTACGCGGTGTTTCTTGTAACAACGACGAGTTAAGAGTTTAGTTGGAGGAGTTTTTCGAGTCAAAACGGGAGAATTTCTACAGAAGAGGCATCGAGAAACTTGTTCAACGTTGGGAGGAGGTCATAAATAACAATGGAAAATACATTGCTGTTTAGCCTATTGATAATTGTAGAGTTAAATGTCATAAATTTGAAGAAAAAACGGACATTACTTATTCCCCAACCCAATAATACATGTATGCCGCAACTTCTCTCACATAACTTCGAAAAATATTTGTTGAACGTACAAAAAAACATTTTTTATTTAAAAAACGTTATATTTCTATAGAAATTGGAGACATAAATACAATAATATGCAATCTAGGAAAAATGTATTTATAGTTTTGTTATTATCTAATCTTTAATACCATGAGCCGTCTACATAAACCACGTTTTAATTTTTAACCTGCATTTTCACTAAAATTGAAATAGTTCATAAACAATATGTTAAAATTTACCTATTTTTATTGTGCTTTCAAAAATCGAGGGTGTTCCATTTAAAAATACATAACTTTGATATGGTACGCTTTTCCTGGACTCCCTGTATAATTCAAAATATTTTTAAAATGTAGCCGTAATCAACCTACACATACCCGCCTAAACAAATTTGTATAACATTTGCCATTTGGTCCCTAGAGACCGAGGCGTTACTGGTGGCCCACCCTGTATATTTTTATAAAATTTTCTGTTTGACTGATTCAAAATTACTCTAAAACTTGTAAATTATTTTGTACTTTTTCTTTAGTTGTCAGTTCATACAAGTTATTTATCTTTCATGTATTTATTTTGAGATAAAATCGAAAGGTTTATCTGTTATTACGTCTTATAGACAATTTAAATTAAAATTATGATTATTTATTACATTTACAAATCATAAATAATATACTGACTCACTTTTTGAATCATTGGTGAAAGAAAATTAAAGTAGTCAACCGCTAAACTTCATAAAAAAGCGTATTTTATAAAAGTAAGAGAAGTTTGAGAATTTGCGTGTAAATGATGACCTACGGTCTTATAAATTAGTAAGTGCTTTTCTACGCAATTTTAGTAAGTATGATCTAGGTTAATTTTGGAAAATCTTGATTGTTATTTAAAACGATGGCTCTTTCCTGTGTTAAACTAAATATACTACTTTGCACATATCCTATACCCTTAAAGAAATAGTTATAAATTTATTAGTTACATAACTATAGTATTTAAAATATATTGGTTACAAGAACACTTTGCTATGATCGACTACTTATATCTTTACTTATATTGAGTTACTGCAATCATTTTTGTGAAAAAAAAATATTTCCCTTCTACTTGCCTATGCTTCTGGCTCTTCAACTTCTCCTCGAACATAACATCCAACATGGTCTTCGCCATTTTCACTGATTTATTTATGACACTCACTGATGAAGTAATAATACAACAATAGGTACTGTCTACTTATAAAATACTTCAATAAACATTATCTTATCAATTTACTTATTGAAAAAAATATGTAAAGTAGTCATACTTTTTTTTTCTGATCAAACTTCATTTAGATAGTGTATCGTTACGGAAGATATGCCCGAGATAAGTATTTATTTCCCTCAACGATTTTTTCTTTATGGTCAAACTCCACAACTCGCTCTTAAAAATCATTTTGATCGTTATATTCATCAAATCATAATCAAAATCATTTTTACAGCTTCAGTTTGTTCATTTTAGTTTAAAACGAGGTATTAAATATGCCTGAAAAGGTGAAAACTTAGCCAATTACTGGCACTGGTGATTTCTGGAAAACAATTTGTGGTTTTAATATTGTGAATATAACGAGCGTTCAAATAAAAACGTGGTCGAAGTTGGCTCTGACACATTGGACGTAGGGAGTAGCTTATAGCGACCAACTTAACCTCATTTCTCAACGAGCTGTATAGCAGCTGTCAGTTTCAATAACGTTAATGACTATATAACTTTATTTTAAAGAATAATCGTGATAACAATAACAAACAATTAAAGGAGCTGCGGAAAG